CCTCGCGTTCTTTCAAACTCCCACGTTGGCACGCACATGAATCTACCCTCATGCACATGATCTAACCGACATCATGTTGGAGATGAGCACACACACACCAGCGCGTCAACACACACGCAGGCGCTCAAGCGCGTTCACACAAAGCGTAGCCTGCAAATTCACCAACACACGCATAAAAACCTGATCGCTGAGCGGCACGCACAAGCACAATGAACCACTTATGGCGATACACTCATATCAGCACTGTCGGATTGTATATTGTAAACTGTGAATGGCGAAAGACTAGCGTTCGATTGCAATAAGCAGCTTGCAAGTAAATACGTGTCGAGACCTGATTGGTTCAACAATGGATGACCATGCTTTGCGACAAGAGTGACTGCTGTGCGCCCAGCGTGTAAGTAGTTGCCTGAAAAATGAATCTCAAGAGGGAAATGATGGAGACAGACGAGGCGGTTTAAGGAAGATGAAAAAGAAGGAGGGAGAAAAAGGCGGGAAGATGCTATGTAGGAAGCGGCGGGGAGCTGCAGATGAAGATGAAGAAATGAGAGTAGGAAAAAGTGACGGACACAGAACGAAGAAGAGGAGAAATGATGGAAGATGTTGAAACGGACCCCAAAAGGAAGGAGAAAGTAATTAAGTCGGAAATAAAAGAGGCTAATACTGATAATGGTGATCATGCCCATGAAAACGGTAGTAAAAATAAAACAACAATGGCAGGTTCCTAATATCACTATAAGATATAATAATAATATTACCATCACGGAAATGTATTTATTGTTAAAATTATAATGATATAAAACAAATACACTTATAATTACGACACTAGAGGCAAATTTAACCTCAGATTGATTAAGATAATATTAGCAATTACGATTAATTATAAGCGTCTTCATAATAATGACTATAATCCCTGTCAACAAAGGAGTTTTAATTTCGGAGGTAGTTTAGCATTTCCTACTGGGACTGGTGCTGGTGTTCAAGCTCATGGCTTCGAATTCTGACTTCCAAGTCATGCAGACTCTAGCTACTTGAAAGAATGGCGCGACACAATCTTCTTTATTTATGCCAAATTAAAAAAAAAAATCAAATACAGCCTGTGCGTCGATTAAATACTTCTTACTATTGCCAGTTGTTGGTATTACAAATTATGCTTGTCAAAGTCTAGATACTCGAAAGATTGGCGCAACACAGTCTTCTTTATTTGTGCCATATTAAAAGAGAAATAGTGTCTGTGCTTCTGAAAGAGTTAAATACGTCCTGTTATCGAGAGTAATTGGTTTTGCAGCTATTGCTTGCCAAGCTATGCAGAGTCTGTCTACTTAAAAGATTGGCGCAACACAATCTTCTCTATTTGTGCCAGATTAAAACTCAAAAACGATCTGTACATCTGACAGGGCTAAATACTTCTTACTATTGCTAGTGGTTGGTATTACAGCTTATGCTTGTCAAGATATGCAAAGTCTAGATACTCGAAAGATTGGCGCAACACAGTCTTCTTTATTTGTGCCATATTAAAAGAGAAATAGTGTCTGTGCTTCTGAAACAGTTAAATACGTCCTGTTATTGAGAGTAATTGGTTTTGCAGCTATTGCTTGCCAAGCTATGCAGAGTCTGCCTACTTAAAAGATTGGCGCAACACAATCTTTCTATTTGTGCCAGATTAAACTCAAAAACGATCTGTACATCTGACAGGGCTAAATACTTCTTACTATTGCTAGTGGTTGGTATTACAGCTTATGCTTGTCAAGATATGCAAAGTCTAGATACTGAAAGATTGGCGCAACACAGTCTTCTTTATTTGTGCCATATTAAAAGAGAAATAGTGTCTGTGCTTCTGAAACAGTTAAATACGTCCTGTTATTGAGAGTAATTGGTTTTGCAGCTATTGCTTGCCAAGCTATGCAGAGTCTGCCTACTTAAAAGATTGGCGCAACACAATCTTCTCTATTTGTGCCAGATTAAAACTCAAAAACGATCTGTACATCTGACAGGGCTAAATACTTCTTACTATTGCTAGTGGTTGGTATTACAGCTTATGCTTGTCAAGATATGCAAAGTCTAGATACTCGAAAGATTGGCGCAACACAGTCTTCTTTATTTGTGCCATATTAAAAGACAAATAGTGTCTATGCGCCTGAAACAGTTAAATACTTCCCGCTATTGTCAGTGACTGGTTTTACATCTATTGCTTAACAAGCTATGCAGAGTCTGCGTACTTGAAAGATTGGCGCAACACAATCTTCTCTATTTGTGCCATAATAAAACGCAAATAGTTTCTGTGAATCTTACAGAATTAAATACTTCCCACTATTGACAGTTGTTGGTATTACAGAAAATCCTTGCTAAGCTATGAAGAGTCTGCCAACTTGAAGGATTGGCGCAACACAATCTTCTCCATTTGGGCTTGATTATACAACAAATAGAGTCTGTGCGTCTGACAGAATTAAAAACTTCCCGCTATTGACAGTGGTTGATATTACAGTCTATGCTTGCCAAGCTATGAAGAGTCTGTCTACTTGAAAGATTGGCGCAGCACAATCTTCTCTAGTTGTAGCAGATTAAAAAACAAATGGATATAATATATCAAAAAGGAACCAGTGCCTCTGACAGTTGAATACTTCTCCCTAATGCCAGTGGTTGCGGTTGCCAGTCATGTTTTGGCGCAACACGATCTTCTCTATTTTGTCCTTGTGCCAAATAAAAGACAGCTAGATATAAAATATCAAAAACGATTTTGTGCGTTTGAAATTATCAGTGGTCGGTGTTGTAGCTTCATATTTCCAATTGAAGCTGCACGATCTTCTCTCTTTTGATTTTATGCTCGATAAAAATTCAAATGGATATAACTTATCTGAAACGGATCTGTGAATCTGTCAATGTCAATATTCGGTGTTGGAACCCAAGTTTTTGAATTCTTCAAAGAATAACGCAACACAGTTTTCTCGGTTTTGTTCTTGGGACAGATTAAAAGACATGGATTTGAAATGTCAAAATGGACTCTGAAAGATTTGCATATTCTCGCTAACAACATTTATCGGTGTTGCAGACCTGATTGTCGAATTCAAGTAGATTGACGCTGTACAATCTTCTCTGATCTGTTCTTGACTATATTAAAAGATAAATCTCAGAAACGAGTCTGTGTGTATCACAACGTAACATATTCCCCGCTAATTCCTGTCGAACTTGCTGCTGCCCATATTCTCAAGATGATGTATTATGTACACTACTTTATTCAGACTATTGTCCTCATCTTTGTCGACATATTCATTACAACGTTTCGGCCGTTGTACGCTCCGGCCTTCTTCAATTCCTGGTTAAGACGGTGGAGAACTTGGACAGGGAATTAAGCAGGAGATAACTGATAACTGAAATCCATTAGACATGGCACGTGGAACTAGAACAGTCTACCCCAGCGAGCGAAATAAAGGGTTCAGTTCGACATTCCAACCACCTGAAGAAGGCCGGAGCGTACAACGGCCGAAACGTTGTAATAAATATGGCGACAAAGATGAGGACAATAGTCTGAATAATGTAAATATTGAAAATAGGACATTAATATTCTTTTATTTTGGCAAATTAGAAAAAACTTCTAGGAAATGTTAACTATGAGTATGTGTTATTTTGTGTTGCATTCTTCTTGCTAATTACGATGGTCGGCGTTCGAACTCAGATTTTTCTATACTGATTTTCAAGGAAATACAATGTCTGTCCACTTTGGCGCAAGACAATCTTCTAGATTCATGTTTGATCTTGTGCTGTTAGACGGTGAACATAGTAAATATGAAAACGATTAATTTGAATGATTGCAACTAAATACGTGTCAAGGCAAAGAGACTGAAATTTTGACACAATCACAATTTTTCTAATCAGGTTTTGGATTGCTGATTTTGAAAGTAGACACTAACTACTAGCGCACCTATTTAGGCGTAGGGCCAAAGTAATGATTATAAAAAATTCGACAATGTTGAGAGATGTATGTCCCCTATTCTGGACGGAATCGATTTTCAAGAGATAGAAAATAGAGACATGATTTCTAACTGTAACGGTGAGATTAACCGTTTCCACAGAGGAAACATTTTCCATTCGAAAAATATATAATTATATATATATATATATATATATATATATATATATATATATATATATATATATAATTATTTATTTAAAAAAAATGATAACATAAATATGTTATAAAATCACTACAAAAATAGCCATTTTGTTTCAACACCCTCGGTGTCTTATCAAGTGATGATGTTGAATGTAAAATAAATGGTTTTAAAAGTTTCGAATTAATTAACAATCCTTCACAAGGGGGAAAACGTTGTTACAAAAGCTAGATGGACCAATCAAAATACAAGTATAGGAAAATTCAAAAGCTTGACAACGAAGTCATGTTATAATAGCTATTCAGATGTTTAAAATATGGGTAGTATTAAAAAATAATTTATTCTAACCAATAATTACTAAATTATATGATAAAATTTAATATTAAAATTAAAATTAAAACTGCTAATTTCAAAATCAAGATACACCAATCATATACTTTATATATATATATATATATATATATATATATATATATATATATATATATATATATATATATATATATATATATATACTTGTATCTATCTATCTATCTATCTATCTATATATATATATATATATATATAATCACCATATATAATCATTTTTTTTCACATAAGTGGACTTCTCACTAACTCTTATAGATCCTTCTAGTATTGATAGGGGGTTTTCTTCCAAACATTCTGTTATTTGGTATTGTAGAAAGATGGTTATATCGTTAAACAAGATGGACGCAATGCGTGACACATGAAAGTCTAGAGCTGATGTGGTTTCTATTCTTTCTTTCTATTTTAATCCGAATCACCCCAAGCAAGGCATTAATGCCACTAAGACACAAGGGGTTACAGGGTATGGAAGAATTAAGGTCAGAAACATTAATGATGAGTAAAAACAGAAGAGGGTAATCAGGAGAACAATAGATAGCGATTGACATTGCATTGAAATTTTTGCAGATTAAATTTGACTGGAAAGCCTGGAGACGGAAGGGCGTTCCACAAGCGAGAAGTGCGAGAAAAAAAACTGTTAGCATAGAACTTAATCATATTTAGCATGGTTTTGGTTATTGGATTTTATAAATCTCTTATATCTATGCGCAGTTATGTTTGTTTTGTGTGAGAAAAGAGACTTTATGGCTACATCTAGCCAGCTCAACTGTAAATTGTTGAAGTCTCGATAACAGTCTAGCGTTGCTCTTAAATTTTAAAACTCTACTTACCATAGCGAAGAGCTCATCCGAACAATTACCATGAAGGTATCTATATGAAAAAAAAAAATGGCACATAGAGGTAACCTTACAGTGGTGGGAAAATGACTATAGCTGAGCCGCCAGACAGGACCATTAATATAGCCGATTTTTCTTTGGAACTTATCAAGGAGCTCAAGGTAAATAGCAGAGGCACTGTACTATACGTGGCAGTAGTAATCTAAGCATGGACGAATGGTAGACTTATAGATATGTAAGATAGATTCTATTTCCGAATTGCTTTAGGCCATGTGGTATACATTTTATTCCGTCGAGCTATAGCTCGGGCATTCACACGTCTATTACGACAATCATCACGGCCCTGCATCAAGGATGGAAGGTCATTAA